GTAGTGGACACACTGATTAGAGCACCATCTACTTTATCCACGAATGACACGTATTCTCTGGCTGAATCAGGACATCGTTCTTAACAAGATTAGCGCTTTCACTTGTTTGACTTAAATCAGAGAATTATGTGTTCCGCTAACAGGCTTCCATTCAACGACTGCGTCATCTACGCTGGGTTCTCTCAGAATACTAACACCGGCTGAACGCAGGTCGTGTAGTCGACACCTGAGTGGATAATCTCACAACTCCGGAGAGCTGTCACTTTATTCAGAAGAGTTCAACTCTATTCACTCGATGTCTTGAGGCTTCATTAACTAGCTCCTACTCTTCTCTTGTGATTGAGGAAATTGATGTTTAATTTCTGACTTTGAACTCGCTCTGTGTTGTTTCCGTGGAATTTCTGAAATTTTACAGTGATATCGCGTGTCTGTCTCTTCAGTTCAGAACTCATAGTGACTGGTAACCGCTTCTGACTACTATGTTTGTCGTCATGGTGATATCCCCTAGCTGCCAGAATGTGTGAAATGGGTTCTTCGCATTCTTCCTCAATTCCCCAATAGCCAATGCGGCCTCTGGTTACCCGGGCAACGACCGAGTCGGTTGAACATTATCTAATGGCAATACCATGAGGGGAAGATGGCTTAGTTTAACATGAGACTTCATTATACTCCTAAACCCTCCTCTTTTCTCATCTGGACTTGCGATCAGCAATAGCAAGTTCAAATTCATCGTATTAAAAGGGTTGCAAAGTTTGTACATGTTGAGGTGTATTCCTTTACACTTCTTGATCTAGTTACTATGGAGCTGGCGATTCTATGCTTATCGTCGTTTAATGCCTTTAGCCAACAGTGCATGCATGAGTAATTAATTTTTTAAGTTAGTATTTAGAACCAAGTCACTGCATTGGGCAGCATCGTGTTTCCTTCCGACAGTATACTACAGTAAAACTCAGCTGATTTGAAATTCGTTTTAAATTTATGATAAAGCAGACAGTTTCATACACAGTAACAGCATTTTTTCGAAGACTTGATTCGTAATTCGAAAAATAATGTTCCATGCTCAAAGTAGCAAAATGGTATATCCTCGATTAATGAAAAAAATTCTTTTTCGCTTCTAGTTCCGATAGCGGTGCTTCCTTGTTATTCTGTGATTGCTATGTTGGTGCCGTTTATGTTCCACCTCTGCAAATTGCGGTACGAAATCGCATTTTGTTCGATTCAGACTGACGTAATCGTTAAAAAATGAGATTATATGTATAAGTAGTGCATATAGTATGTTCATATCTCTTGAATAGTGCTTGATACCAAACTGTCATTTTCAAATGTTAAAGGTTTTAGAGATAGTCAGTCACATCGCCACTGTCCTCTAACTTAAGCCCTTTTCCGGAATTCATAAAGCACAGTTTTATTCATGCCTTGTTAAAAAGCATTACTGTTAAAATGGGGTCTCTTTTGGTGGAAGTACTGGAAAATGGTCAGGCGTTAAGGTTGCGAAATTTTGACTTTTGAACCACTCGATTTTTTATTTTGATGCTCGTCACAAAATTGACGGGTATTAAAATCATATATAACGTATATGCATCTCAGAAATGGTGTAGACGTATTAATATTTTCCTTGTTAAAACCAGTTTATAATTTTTGCTTCGAATAAAGTATGTATATGCAATAAATAACAAGTACAATATGGATGAATACTGAATATGGTACACGACTTGTTTGTGCGGGAGATGGCATAATGCGTTGATATGTCACAAGGCCATCTGAGGTTTCAGGCCAAGCTTGGTCCGTCTTCAGAATTATAATTGTATTCTGGATTGGCCTTGTCAATTAAAGAATATTTTATGCGCTGTGCTCCTTTTCTGTGACATACCAAAGTGACAATATGTATATAAACTTATTGTTTTGCATATAAACGAGGTTCGCGCTGTGCTTGCAATATATAATTTGTTATTTAACGGACTCCTGGTTTCCTATTGACGATATTTTACAGACTACTGATTTTCCTCAGAATCACCTGTTCAATCAACTATATACCATATATTTAGTTCTCAGTAATTCGTAATGGAACTTAGTGTTCTTACGGTGATTTTTGGCCCCAGTCGTGCTGAGGGTTCATGATATGGGAAAAGTTTAGATAAGTCACCTGCAACATCTTATTAGAATATAGAATATGAAATAGGGCATATTTAATGTTTTAAGTGTTTTTTACTTCTAATTAGTTATTTTAGTTAATATTTTTTATTACGCGTTAATAATTATTTAACTGAAAGTTAATAATTATTTAACTGAAAGCTGCGGTAAGGTGGAAAATTTTTTATTTCACTATTGCGAA